TGAACCCCTTCCTAACCTCCCGGGGACTGAGAAAGCACCTAGTCCACAAGGCTAACGTGAGAGAGAAGCTAGGTGATGCCAATGAGATGTGGTGGAATATTACTTTAACTGTGTAAAACTGTGTGTTACGTTTGTTTATGCTGCATTTATTTAGTTATGTAAAGATGTCTTGCGGTTGTAATCTGCTGGCCCTTGGTACCTTGTCCCTTTAAGAGACAAGCTCCACCCACTCCCAACCTCCCCCCACTTCCTTCCACCTCCTCTCTAGTGGTCCCACCCTGCCCTTCTGGAGAGGAAGCTTCTGCCTGCCTCTCTCTCTCTCTCTCTCTCTCTCTCTCTCTCTCTCTCTCTCTTCTTCCCCCTTCCCTTTCCCCTCCATAACCCACTAAATAAACTCTATACTCTCTGCATGGCGTATCTATCTGTCTCCTGTTGTCCCTCACCACCTCTTTATAAATGGTAACAGTTGCACCTTGCCTATCTAAGGCACTTGATTGGTCTAATAAAAAGCTGAATGGCCATTAGCTAGGCAGAGGAGGGATAGGCAGGGCTGGCAGGTGGAGAGAATAAATAATAGGCAGAATCTAGGCTAGAGAGAAGAGAAGAGGAGAGGAGGGGAGGGGAGGGGGGAGGGGAGGAGAGACAAGGAGAGAAGAAGGGAGAAAGAGAAGGAGGGACCAGCCAGGCAGCTGCCAGTCAGACTGTAGAGTCCCAAAAATGAACTAAGTTCCACCTTGTTTGAAGGTCAGAGCGTTTGAGGTTGCTCAAAATTATTGACAACTATGGCTGCTCAGCCTGACCTAGGGTGTGGTTACTTGGTCTTTCTGACATCAAGATGGACCATACAGGTAAATCCATTCCATCCTGACCAAAGGTCAGGAAATTCAAGCATACTTCTGCTCCTGCTTTTGAATTAAGAGGTTTGACCTAGGGAAGGGCTGCCTTCAGGATTCTTGGTCTAGGGTGGGTTCACTGCCTAAACAACAGAATGCTTTTCTCATGGATTAATGAGTTGATGGCTCCAAGTATTGAAGCAAATAACTGTTCTAGTTGTCCTTTGTATCATGTTAAAGCAGTCTTTTGTCTTCTTCCCCTTTCTGTATTGGGGTATAAATTGAATGGGAAAGAAAAAAGAATGAATTCCGCATTCAGTATTCGCTGGGTTGCCCTTCCATTACTAGCCTATGTCTTAGTGATTCTTTCTTATATCTGTTCCTCCTACTTAACATTTTTCTAATCCTCCTGCCCCTACCCTGGTAAGTGGTGTACTTGTCAAAGCTCACCCCTTGACACCAGACATTGAGTAGGACAGGCAGAATGAAAGAAAGGTAAAAAGCCAAGGCAAAACATAGATGAAGAGAAACAGGTTGTTGAATTATCTCGGTTCAAGAAAAAAATCAGGCTAACTAAAAGATAGACCAATTGTAATTTTCTTTATTATAAGGGGCAAACTCATGAAACAGGAACGAGAAATCCAAGCTCAGTGGTGTAGCACAGGAACCACAGAGAGAGACTGAATCTTGGCCTACCCGGCATTTTCTCTGGGTAACCAGAAGGTCATGCCTTAACCTGATCACTGGCTGACAAAAATTCTCCATCATTTCCCCTTTTTGTCTAAATAAGAGACATCCAAACCCAATACAAAACTATATACAATAGGAACAGATATCAAGTAAGATTACAACCAACTTAAACAATATTAAGCAAGGAAACATGATAAATGTTTTAAATAAACATTCTGTTTTAAAGAGTCTAAGTCTTGCATCTGATATTGGCTTGGCTAAACCATAAGAGGCAGGTAACTGCAGCTATCCAATCTTCAACCCCATCGAAGGCCTGAGAAGGGAGATAATATTACTTGAGTAGTCAGGAAATGCAATCAAGCAGCTTCCAAAGCAAGTAGTATGTGACAGAGACAATTAGCTACCTGAACAATCACCCAAAGTCTCATTTGCAATGTTGAAGCAACCAACTTTGGCTAAGGCCTAGAGTAACTGACAGACCATTTTTAGAGGCAGGAAAATTTTTAGAGCCATTTAACCCTGTCTTGGCAAGGTTTGGCAGTCCTTTTCCTTGTGTCCTGCTTGTCCTGTCTGGACACCAGGTACTCTGTCAGTGGTTGAGGCATGGGCATTTCTTTGCCCAAAGGCCAATTGTGCCAGCACAAGAAGAAAACAAACTCCAAGTGGAGTGTCTTCGGTGCTCAACATTTTCTTGGAAATAGATTGGTACTGTCAGGAGCAATTGCGTCTCACGTCAACAGAACCCTAAGTTATTTAAATGCCATGTTCTACGGATCCTTGAAGTGGTTGAAGATTACCTTTCTAGGAGGACCACAATCTCTATGTATCTAAAGAACCTAGTTAATCTGACTATGTATAACAAACATAAATAACTATTGACCTACAATACTTAATGCCTATATAACTTAAAGACCAAGACTTCATGTCAGAATATTAAATAATCTGCAAACAAATGTGCAGCAAATGAGGACAATGACCTCAAAATGTAAACAATGTATAAGTATCTTGATCAGAGGTAGGAATAATATATAATGCAATATGAAAATATACCCTAAAATTGTATCAATATACAAAATGTCTTAAACAGAGGTAGAAACATGCATGTATATTTTTAGGTTTGAGTAAAACACTGCAGGTCCCCACGTGGCAGCAGGCAGTGGGTCCCAAGACCACAGCAGGCCACAAAGGCAGCTGGGTCCCAGGCAGGGGGCCACGGGGCAGGTGAGAGACTGAGATGGATACACACGTCATGTAGAGTGAGGTTAGATATTTATTTTATAGAAGAGAAGGGGAGAAGGGGGAGGGAGAAGAGCAGAGGGGCAGAGAGGGAGAGAAAGAAAGAGAGAGAGAGAGAGAGAGAGAGAGAGAGAGAGAGAGAGAGAGAGAAAACCAAAGGGGGAGAAGGGAGGAGCAGTGGCAGCAACTACCTCTTTGGGAGAGAGATGGGAAGGAAAAGGCTTGGGCTGCAAGCAGGAAGGAAGACCCACTTGCTTCAGTGGTAGACAGGGGAGGGAGTGGGTGTGGCTTGTCTCTTAAAGGGACAGGACAGTCCATTACATATACAATCTGACAAAATAACTTTGAATAGGTGCACAAATATTGTAAACAGAAATAACAAATACAATTTGAACTGTATCAATAAACAAAAACTACACCAATGTAAATTGTCCATAAATAATAGTTCATAAAGTATTCACTGTATTACCCATTATTATTATTAGTGCGAATAATGTGAATAAGTTTACATTAAATTATCTATTATCCCATTCAACTTGTCCTATTTCGTCTTCTTCTTCTTCTTCTTCTTCTTCTTCTTCTTCTTCTTCTTCTTCTTCTTCTTCTTCTTCTTCTTCTTCTTCTTCTTCTTCTTCTTCTTCTTCCTAGATCATTGGCTAACAAAGATTCCCCATCAACAGGTTAATTCAAGTTAAAGGAAAAAAGCCAGAAATGAGCCTACGCTAAGGTTGAGCATTGATAACTAAGAAGAAGTCTCCACATCATGATTTGGGAACTGGTTGGTGGGCCTGAAGAAAGCCTGCTACAGAGACAAGATGTGCCACACAGTGATTGTCTCTACCTTCATTTATCTCAACCCTGCTTTATTATGCTGGGCCCACAAGCCCCCAACTTCACAGAGACGTCCCAGTTCAGGGCTGTGTAGTTCCCACACACTGCTGGATGGGCGCCTTCCAATCTCACTTTCCTCATCTGTCTAGATGACGAATCATATTTCCGTTTTGCTAAAGCTGATGAGAGAGAAGACCGGTCAAAGACGGCCCTTAAAACCCTGGTCTCTGCTTCTAGTCTCCGAGCCCTTTCTGCCTCCACTTGCAGCCAGTTCAAGTATTCCAGCTACGTTTGGACTGGCTGTGGGGAAGGAGGCATACCTCCCCCATGAATGAAACCATCTCAGATTCTTACCCCTTTCTGTTGTGAGGTGAATCTGACTGAGAGAGCAGACACAAGCCTTTCCCAGCCCCAGGGCTGTGGACAGTAGCCACTTGAACTGCATAGACTCACTATCAATTGTGTTCTAGGGACCAGGAGGATTTATGGACATTCTGTGGGCCTCTGTGGACACAGAACCGTAGTCCCAACTGAACGGAGCTGGAGGAAACACAGTGGGCCTTGTTAAATGAGAAGAATGAGTTTAATGTATACAGGGTGACACTGGAGTCGGAAGGAAAAGGGGTTCACCCGGCTAAATATTTACAATCTGAGTCCTGTATTTCCAAAGGGGGTGGCAGGAGGGTAATTTCTATAATCTATTCCTCTCTAAACCCTTCTTGCATGAAAACTGCATCGGACACAAAACACGGCTCGTGAATATTTATCAGCAATTTCTCACTGTCATTTGGAATCTGGGTCTGGTGCTAAAACTTTCCTTTCCCAACCCCCAAAGGCAGCCAGCCCGCTCCTGGGGATCCTGAAGCTGAGGGAACAGTCCGCTCTGCAGTGGGGTCAGGGGGCACGGCGAGGGGCGGGGTTAGCTTTGTCTCCGCTCGGTTGGTGAAAGCTGAAACTTGACGGAACTTCTTTTCTAGCTGCATTTTGGGCTATTTAGCCTCAAAAACAAAAGATTTATTTTCCTCTTCTCCTCCCTTCGGGTTTTGTTCTCTGATAGAATTTACATGTGGGTCTGGAAACTGGGGAGGACAAACCAATCTCTCCTCCATCCCGAGGTAGAAAAAAAAAAAAAAAAGGACAGCCTAAACTTAAGGAGAACTTTTCCCTGCAAGCATGAATTCAGCACGACTATTCCCAGCACCCGCCGTTGCTTTTCCTCCTCTTTTTAACGGAGAGAAAAAAAGCCAGAGTGGTGTGAGGGAAGGTCTGTGGGGCCAGCCTTCCCGCCTGCTGTAGCATTCCAGGTCAGGTTTACCTCATCCTGTCAGATGGGGCCCCGTGGTTCCCTTCCACAGAGGAGGAAACGGAGGTCATAGGCTCTGTCTCTAGTCACAGGACCCTCTCAATCGATCAGCAAAATGATGGAATTTTAATTTCTTTTTGTCTCATTCTCCAAAGAAAGAAGGATGGCCTCCACGCTCCTCCGTTCAGATCTTCACACCGTCCTCATGTTGATCTTTCAGAAGAAGCCGTCATCAAATGGCGGCAGACCGTGACCGACAGACCTATGGGAAGAAACCAAATCGTGTCTCCCAGGTCAAAGGATGGAGGCGATGACTGCCTTTGTTGCCACGCAGCTCTCACATAAATAGCGTGAGGGTTGTATGGTCGGTTGTCTGAAAGGTCTCTTTGGAGCACCGTGGAGGGGGAGCTGCCACTAGCAGTGCAGAGTGTACGTGGTGATTTTGTTCCAAGTTATGAGCCTGTTTCTGTCCCTGGAATTATTAACAGCCGTGTGAAGCTTACCTTTGGGCTTCTCCATGCTGCTTCTGCTTCATTCCTGGCAAGCATTTTGGATAAGAATTTGTAATTAGGTTGTTTATAGGGACTAGTGACTTTAAGCATAATTAATCGCTCCCTCCCTCCCTTCTTCCCTCCCTCCTCCCTCCCTCTTTCTTTCTTTCTTTCTTTCTTTCTTTCTTTCTTTCTTTCTTCCTTTCTTTCTTTCTTTTCTGAAATAAGGTTTCTTTTTGCAGGCTTGGCTGTCCTGGAATAGTTCTTTAGACCAGGCTGACCTCGAACTCAGAGATCCACCTGCCTCTGCCTCCCAAGCCCTGGGATTAAAGGTGTGCACCACCACACTTGGCTAGTAACACCTACTTTCAACTCACGTTTTAGTCCTTGGATAGAAAGTTGCATCTCGCCTGCCCGGCTAGCTCAGTCGGTAGAGCATGGGACTCTTAATCCCAGGGTCGTGGGTTCGAGCCCCACGTTGGGCGGCGCTTGTTTTTGTCTGAGCGAGCAATCAAATTTAGTCTCAAATATTTATGGGGCTGGAGAGATGGCTCAGAGGTTAAGAGCACTGACTGCTCTTCCAGTGGAACCGGGTTCAATTCCCAGCACCCACATGGCAGTTCACAACTGTCTGAAAATCCAGTTCCGGGGGATCTGACACCTTCACACCAATGCACATAAAATAAAGTTAAATAAACTATAAAAAATATTTAAAAAAAAAGAAAGAAAGTTGCATCTCAATTCATGCGACCCAGATGAAAGAGTCCTGGCGATGTTTTATTTTGGACAGTTTGGATGCTGCAAAGGAACTGGCCTGTAGCCAGGGGTGAGGTCCCATGGTCCAAGTCCGAAAGTACAGAAACTCTGGTTGGGTATCTAGGTGAGCGCTTTGGAATGAGGTAATGCCCTGGTGCTCTCTGAGACCTTTGGCTTGTATGCAGAAGAGACTGGAGGGCAGATGGGAACTAAACTCCTCATTCCCAGGTTCTAGTCCGTTGGCGGTGTGACATCATCAGAGAGGCTGCCAGAGGTGAGCACTGTGGGAAAGCTTCTTCTCCTTCTCTTGCCATCTGTTCACTCTTTCCAACACAACAGTATAGAGGTGGTTAGTGTCAGAGGTGTGGTGATCATTAAAACAGCAGGTTGGGTTCTGGCCCAGGACTGCCTGGGTTTGGACCTCTCTATGTTAGGCCTTTTTCTCTTTTCTGTGACCAGAGCACCTAACAATTTGAAAGGAAGGATGATTAGTTTTTGTCTTGCTCATGTTTCCATGGCTACTTGACGCTGTTCCCTTGGACAGGGTGTCATGAGGACGGGATCATGTGACACAGGACCTTCGGGGCAGACAAGAAACAGAAGGGACTGTTGGCTGTTGGCTGGGTTTCTTCTATTATTGTGTTCTCCAGCCCAGCCCATAGGGTCTATCACCCACGTACAGGGTGGGTCTTCTGCACTCAGTTAATCTTTGGAAATGAAGAGGTATACTTCGTCAGTCTCCTAGGTGGTTCTAAATCCACCTAGTAAGTTAAATCGTGAAGATTGTTCATTGCTGCCCCTAGCTCTCTTGTATTGGTATCGTGGCCAATTGGCTTATTCAGTGTGTCTATTTTTTTTATCATAAAGTGCTCCATTCCTATACAAAAGGAATGATGGTCAGGCTGTTGGCATTCCCAGCTCACGGCAGCTCTTCTGGCCGGGTGTCCTCTGTGGCTGCAGCATGGAGAACACCCTTCCTCTCTAAAGTTTGGGTCAAGGCCACATACTGTCTCACAATGTTGAGGAGTTGTGGCCTTGTTTTGTTTTCTGGCCTTTGTTTCTCCATTTTTCTTCAGAAATGTCGGCGTCTAGCCAATCTAAAAAAATTATGCAGAGAGAGGCAAACCCCTGCAATTCCTGCAGCCTGACCATCGGTGGGTTCGGTGCATCGCCAGAGCACCGAGCTCCAACAAAGCCTTGAGCTGTACGGAGGCTTTTAACAAGCTGGTTCTGCACAGGCCACCAGGTGGAAGAACTCCCCAAACTCCAATTGCCTCTGCAGGGTACAGCCAGGAAGAAGGCAGGCTGTAATGTGCCTAAACTGCCTGAAAGCAATCTAAGAACCACACCACTCTCAAGCCAGAGCTATGCACATCAGTAAACTTGTCCCAAGGTCCTGGGACCCCCTAGTGGGAAAGAGTCACGTCGGAGAAGAAAATGATCCAAGACAGTGAAGACCAGGACGAAACAGAATGAGTGTCCCAAATGGAGTGATTGTGATTGTACCAGGATTCCACCCAGGACTCTGTCAGGGGTTACAGCTGTGTGAGGACACACATCTGAACACGAATGTCTTGACCACAGTGCGTTCTGGCCATGAAGACAAAGACCCAAGGAGTCTTCCGTTCAGATAAGAGATCTGGGCTGGCAAGACGACTCTAATTAATATACTTGCTAATGGAAGTGCCTTGGAGATCGTGGTAGATACGTGTACTGCAGATGCTCAGAAGTTTAACGAGAGGACACAGGGTACTGTACTTACTGACTTTTTCTGGGTCCCCGTCCCGCACCCTCTATTCCCCACCACCTCCGTCGCTGTTCTTTTTTTTTTTTTTTTTTTTTCCTTCTGTGGTCTCAGCAATAGTAGGAACCATGCACAGAGATGATTCAACTGTTCAGGCGTGGCACTGGCTCAAGCGCAGTGACTGCACCCCAGGCATGGCCCTGGCCTCTCCCTCCTCACTCTCACAGCCCTCCCAACTGTGTATGCCGACTGTCTTGACACCTTGTTTAGCTTGTGACAGACCGGAGAGAAGAACTCTACCAGCTCTAGAGAGAAAGGACATGGAAGTCAGGGCAGCATGGCCGCGCACGTGTGTGTGTGTGTGTGTGTGTGTGTGTATGTATGTGTGTGTGTGTATGTATGTGTATGTGTCTGTCTGTGTATGTGTGTCTGTGTGTATGTGTGTGTATGTGTGTGTCTGTGTCTGTCTGTGTGTATGTCTGTCTGTGTGTGTATGTGTCTGTGTATGTGTGTGTGTGTCTGTATGTTTGTGTGTCTGTGTGTATATATGTGTGTCTGTATGTGTGTGCATGTGTGTGTCTGTGTGTCTGTATGTGTCCGTGTGTGTATATGTGTGTCTGTATGTGTGTCTATGTGTATATGTGTGTCTGTGTGTGTTTGTGTGTGTGTATATGTGTGTTTGTGTGTATGTGTGATGTTATGTTGTCTCTGTGTTGAGGTGCTTTGCACGGCTATGTGGTGTTTTGAGTGCATTTTATCTTATTTTATTAGGGTAGTAAAGTTTTAACCTGGGACCTTGCCCATACCAGCAATCACCTTACCACCCAGCTTTCTTTTAATTTTTATTTTGAGATGAGGTTGCCCAGGCTGGCCTTGAATTCATTCCGTAGCCCAGGCAGGCCTTGAACTTGCTGTGGTCATGTCTCAGTCTATCGAACAGCTGATTTTCAGGCCTGAGGCGGGGATTATCTGTGGAGAACGAAAGCCAGACTTTCTCCTGCTTGGCCGGTTACTCTTTGCCTAGGGACTTTACTCCTCCTGCCAAAGTCCCAGCCCTTGCTGCTCTCTGCCTGCCACAGCCTTCCCAACAGAAAGAGACAGAGCAGCTGGCCCCCATCGCTCTCCTCTCTGACCTTTTCATGGTCTCAAAGGTCTTGATGTCAGGCTGGGCCCAGCTGTCAGGCTCAGTCCTAGGAAGGAAGATGAGGCGCTCACAGCGAGGGCTTTGGGTATCAGTACCCTGGTGTAACCTGATGAAGATGATGGCGAATAGATGAAGGCCCTGCCACTGGGCAACCCCTGTGCACATAAACTGTGCAAAGAAATGAAAGAGCTGATCAAACTTTGCTAAATTAGGATCAGATGTTATGACCGTGATAAGAACATAGAATAGTTATTAGGTAGTTGCGTAGACCGAGTGTATATACCAGGCACTGCTTTGGTTGCTTTATGTGAATTATTTAATTTAATAATACTTAGAACTCCTTCTAGAAGCTTTTTTTTATCCCCTTTCTTTCCTTTCTTTCCAACGGAGAGCCTTGTTGCACGCTAGGTAAGCACTCTGTCCCTGAGCTATATTCTATTCCTATCTTATAGGTGAAAAGATTGCAGCATAGAGAAGTGACTTACCCGAAGTAGCTTAGGTAAGTACTGCTGGCGCAGTGCCTGCCCCGCAGCAGTAGCCCCGCCCCCATGCTTGTTGCGTGTGTGTGTGTGTGTGTGTGTGTGTGGGGGGGGGTAGAGGCGGTCACTATCAGGTGACAAGGCCCTCTGAGTGTTATTCCCAGGTAATGCAGCTGAACCTACCTTCACTCTCTCTGGTCCTGAGGTTGTTGAGGCTGGTGAGGCTTTGTGGCTAAGTCCATAAAGACCTCAGCTGGGTTATATTTAGACCACAGTTTCCGTGGCTGTTTTGAATAACCCAAGACTCGCTGGCTGGCAGGTGTTTGCAGCAAGAATTTTTTTTTTTTAAGTGTTACTAGGGCTATTGACTGTAGGGTTCTGAACAGCTAGGGGAAGTGAGACTCTACCATTGAGCTGCTTACCCAGCTATTTCTTATTGAGAGTAAGAGAAGATGGCCCAGGGGAGCTTTGGTTAGAAGGTCAAAGGTGCCGTCTTGTCCTGTTGCCCTGGACTCTTGTTTCTTTCTGGGAACCTGTAGCAAGCCTTCTCGTAGGACTATCATTGGATCGACAGGTCCCAAATAATGACATGGAGACTTATTAATAATTATGAAAGCTTGGCCTTTATCTTAGGCTGGTCTCCTACTTGCTCCTATAACTTAAATTAACCTGCTTTTAGTTTTAGTAATCTGTGTTCTGCCACAAGACTTTTCAATCTCTCTTCCATTCTGTATGTCCAACTTGTTCTGCATCTCCCTGGAGCCTCTCCATCTCTCTTCTTCCCAGAGTTCTTCTCCCTCCTGCCCCCCCCCCCACCCAAAAGTCGCCTCTATTCTCTTCTGCCTAGCTATCGGCTTTCCAGCTCTTTATTAACCCAACCACAGAGACACATCGTCACACAGTGTAAACAAATAAACAGTCTACTACACTTCTGCGGCTAGAAACTCACAGTGATACATTGTTTCCATCGCTGCTGGTCTGCTCCAGACGCTGGAGAAGCCGCAACAATGAAGCAAAATGAAGCAATGGAGAGCAAGTTTCAGGGCAGCTGAGTACAGCAGGAGAGGTAGGCGGGAGACTCCAAAACCAGGCTCTTATACTTCATCTAGACAACCACAGGCTACACTTGGAAGACAGCAAAGCAGCCGGACACAGCGCCGTTGAGGAGTGATCTTTGCTAACCCCCCCCCAAGGAGCTAGATTCCAGCTAGTGAGCCAGAACAGCTGCCAACAGCTGACCTCTGTTGGATCGACAGAAGCTGATGTGGCCCACTTACTGACTGTGAAATCTCTGCGTGTACATTGAATTTAGGGGAATTTTAATTGTTATATAAATGTATGAATTAGAGTCAGCAGCGTTCTTTCATGATTGTTCTGCCAACACATAAAACAGAACAAAACTGACTCACCCCCCAGAAATGGTCACAAATAAAGAAAATTTCAATGCAAAAACAAAAACCAAAAAAAATTGTTTTAACAAATGACTGTTCCACTAAAAACTCGTCATGCATACATAGGGCAAAGTCCGAGGTCATCCCTCAGCCTAAAATCCCTGAAGCCCAGGCCTACCTCCTCCAACATCCTTCTTCCAATCAGGGGGCAGGAGACCACTGCCTATGAGGCCAATCTGATTTGGAGCTGAAGGCGACTCTGAGCACGCTCAGAGTGTAAAAAACCAAAAATATCATATTTTATGACAACTGAAGATGATAAGAATTTAAATTTCAGCCAGGTAGTGGTGGCTCATGCCTTTAATCTCAGCACTTGGGGAGGTAGAGGTGGGGAGGATCTCTGTGAGTTCAAGGCCAGCCTGGTCTACAAGAGCTAGTTCCAGAACAGGCTCCAAAGCTACAGAGAAACCCTGTCTCCCAGTCTCAAAAAACAAAACAAACAAAAAAAGAATTTAGATTTCAAAATCCATGGATCAGATTTTATTGGAACACTGCCATGACTGTCTGTGCTACAAAAGGCAGAGCGCAGTAGTTACGACTCAAACCATGGAACCTGAAATGTTCCCAGCAAGTTAGCTGTATCCTGGAACTCGCTGTGTAGACCAGGCCAACCTCACAGAGATTTGCCTGCCTCTGCCTTCCAAGGGCTGGGATTAAAGGTGCGTGCCACCACCGCCAGATTGTGTGTGCTTTTTTTTTTTTTTTGGGCTGTCAGTGTTGGCGGTTTCAATCCCTGATTGTCAGGTTGGCCTGTCACTTTGGGGGCTGTAGTGAGGCAGTACATCACAGTGGAGCTGAGTGGAAAGGAATCCCTTACCTCCTGTTACCCCAGATGCAAAGAGAAGAGAAAGGAGATGCTTGTATCATGGGAGCTTCTTTGAGGAACATTCCTCTTCAACCTCACCTCTCACTGGGCCACACCTCAATAGCATCAACCTGAGAACCAAGCCTTTAATATGTAGACATTGGAAGGACTCAGAGTATGGCTTTTGTTACACAGCTGTTTTTCCACACTGTCTGGGGAGGATCTTTTCAGAAAACAATTTTTTTTTGATTCCCCAATGTGATCATTTTCTAAGTACCCCTTAGGTACTTGGAAACTGAACTGGAAGACCTTGGTTGATATGTGAGTCAGGGTGGGAGGTCCTCTTGGATCTGCCTCAAATCTTCTGTATACTCGTCTGTCTCTGGGAAGGCAGGATAACCCCACCTTCTCTTTCTTTGATGGTCCATGCATGATGGTGAACAATAACATTGGTGCATAGATGAAGAGTGTTTTACGTCTCCTCTTCCTAGTTGAAGAGATAAAGATAGGAGAGTGATTTAGCTTAGTGGTAGAGTACTGGCATATGCCGGGCCCTGGATTTGATGTGATTCCCTTCCAACACCGCAAGAGATAAGAATGCTCACATATGTAGCCCGGCGAAAGGGCTCAGGTGGGAAGTTTGAAGAGTTGTTGAGAAAACCCTGGTGAAGATCAGAGTTGCTTCTCTCTATCACCACAGGGTCTGGGATTGGCAGGGACTTGTGGGGTTTGTGTGGGGGATTTTGAAGTCTACAGGGGTGAGGTTCAGAGTGGGTAATGAACAAGGTGTAATAATGCCTTCCAAAGAGAAGGTACTCACAACCGTTCCGTGGACAGAAGTTGGAGGCTTCACTGATAGCTTATTTATGCATTCAAACAAAAACCAACCAAACACACACACTACACACACAAAAACAGTACAATCTAATCTATTCAATATTTGCAAGCCTTGATTTGAAGATATTGGCTTGGTAGTTCAGGAATTGGTGCCAAAGAGCCAAGAGTCACTCTCTAGGCAGAAAATCTATTATTTGGGTCCAAATAACAGCTTTTTGAAGAAGGAACTTAGGACACAGTGTCTCTCTAATGTCAGGGAGTGCCCAGACACGCACAGAGGACCTTGTTTCTGGCTAGAGGTGGCCGACTTGCTCAACACTGGCCTGGCCTGAAAGCTTGGCTTGTGGCTACAGAGTCTGCCAGATGCCCCTGGAAGGTGACTAGGCTGGTAAATGTTTAACAGCTGTCTGTGGGGTAAGGGTGGGAGAGAGGGGGTGGAGGAGAGGTAGTGGTTGAGAAAATGGCAGCATTTGCCCATTCGTATGGCAGGGGCCTGCCAGAGCCCGTTTCAAACTCCAATGTAACTGCCACTGAGCAGTTCACAGAATTTCTGAATACATAGCCGTCAGCTCCAGCCACACGCCGTCAGCGAGGGTCAGGACCTGGGACCCCTAATATCGGTGTTTACAGAGGATCCCCTCTCCTCACCTTCATCGCGATGGCGTTAATTTCCTGTCAAACCTCCGGGAGATTCGAGACGTCAGTGAGCCACCAGGCCTGACAATCTCCAGCTCTGGCTGGAATCTTCCAGTCCCCCTAGGACTGCAGAAATTCTAGAGCCCTCACGCTCCAGTGCTCTGGTGGGGGCGGAGGGTGCACGGAGGTCCCTTCCCAGGTCTGGTGGGAATCTCGGCTCGGCCTGCTTTGTGGCTGCTCTTTAGCTCTGTGTGCTTGAGAAAGGACCAGTGGCAGGTGGCCTCGGGGCGGCAATCAATAGCGGCAATTGTCCCCGTGTCAAAAGGATGAGTCAGAAAACGCGACTAGCAAGGGAGGAGGCGTGGGGGTGGGGTGCTGCTCTCAGTGAATTAGGCCTTTTCTATAGATTCCATAAGGGCTACATAATGAGCAGCTTTTACTCAGCTACCTCTGACCTCTGGGGGCCGAGGAGGAGCCAACCCCTCCCCTGCTAAAGCACGCTCTGCCTTCGTTTACCTGGCGTTGCTCCGGGTACCCGCTGGGGTGCAGGCTGTTCCAGGGATGGTGGACAAGGCCACACTTCTCCGTGCTCGCTTTCCCATCCGTGCTCGCTTTCCCTATCTGCAGAATAGAGACCTAAAGTGCTCAGCGGGGGAGTGAGGGTGGGGTGGGGGGTGAGGGGGTGAGGGGGTAGGGGGGGTGGGAGGCAGCCGTAGTATTTTTCCATTTTCTACCCAGGTCCCCAGCTAGACTATATCTAACCCCTGTAACTAAATGTGTGAGCCCGGGGAAGCTCCTTCCTCCCCCCCCCCCCCACTTGCTTTCCTTCCTCTTCTCTTTCTTCCATCTGTGAATGGTGGGTCCTCCCTGCCTCCCAGGGGTGGGAGGATTAATGATATAATGCAGAAGTCGGCTGCTCTGGGGGAGAAAGGTGTTATGTACACGGAAGGTGTAATTAGTATCATGTAACTACACGAATGTTTAGATTGTTCCTAGCCTGGCAATTTCAAGGTGTTTTGACAAGCAAGTTATCTAAAGCTGGAAACCCATCCAAGGGGGTGGGGACAGTTGAGAGCCCCTCTGGGCAGCCTGAAGTCTCCAGATGAGCCAATGTCTTCGCTCTAGGCAGTAGCACTCTGGGGTGTGAGGGGAGCTGGTGCCTCTGATGGGTTCGCTTCATCTAGGATCAGGGGTACCATTTTTATCATCCCTCAGGGAGTGCCCAAGAGGGCGCCCCTAATACACACACACACACACCCCTCCTCTTCTTTCTAGATATTTCTCTCCAGGAATAGTGTGCCAGTGGAGGGGGAGGTTGTAAAGAAACAGATGTCACCTTCTTTGAAACCTCGGAGACGTGGTATGGGAAAATGGGATCTGGCATCACGTGAGCCCAGTCAGAAACTGGATTCAGACTCCAGACAGCATCCCAGGCCAAGAAGTTGGTGGCTTGTCCTATTTCGTACCTTTGTCTCCTTGCCTTTTGACAGGTTGATGGGAAAACCACATGAAATATTCTGTTGCCAGCACCCGGGATGCCAGATAATGAAGACAACGGTAGTTAGCTGTGTCAGAGAGAGCCCTGTGGGTGCTCTGTGGAGAATCAGAATTCCCAAGGACTCAGCCTTCCTTTCCCAGAGCTGGGTGCCTGTGCATACCTTCAGGACCCTAAGAATACTAGTGTAATGGTTTAAGTAAAATACTGCAGGTCCCCAAGTGGCGGCAGTGGACTCAAGTGGCCATGAGACTGTACCGCAGCTCCCTGAGCCGTGGCAGGCAACGGGCAGCGGGTCCCAGGCAGGAAGCTGCGTGGTGGCTGAGAGACCGAAATGGATAGGCATGCCATGCTGAATGAAGTTGGAAATTTATTTAGTGGGTTATGGAAGGGAAGGGGAGAAGGGGGAAGAGCAGAGAGAGACAAAGACAGAGACAGAGACAGAGAAAGGAAGGGACTCAGACTGGAAGATAAAGACCAGCTTGCCTGGGGTGGGGAAATGGGCATGACTTGTTTCTTAAAGGGACAAGACAGATCATTACAACTAGGGCTCTCTTTTTTTTTAATTTTTTATGATTTATTTATCTTTTATTTTATGTGCATTGGTGTGAAAGTTTCAGATCCCCTGGAACTGGATTTTCAGACAGTTGTGAGCTGCCATGTGGGTGCTGGGAATTGAACCCGGTCCTTTGGAAGAGCAGTCAGTGCTCTTAACCGCTGAGCCATTTCTCCAGCCCCAACTAGGGCTCTCTTAACTTTAAGATTGTGCCCCCCTCCCTGTCTTGGTCAGTTGGAGAAACTATATAAAAGACCATCAGACTATGTAATACATGGACAACAGCATTGTATGGCTCGCTGGAGGCTGAGAAATCCAAGATGGAGGTACTGAAAGGTTACTTATCCGGTGAAGGCCTTTGGTTTCCTAACTTGTACTTTGTGTCTACATCCTCATGGTTGAGAAGCAAATGTGCTTCATCTGGCTTCTTTTTTAAGGGCACCAATCTCACGTAGAAGGACTCTATTCTCCTGAACTTCCAAATGCGTGCCTTCTACTGCTAACACATGGAAGTTAGCATATGAACTGTGTGTGTGTGTCTGTACGTGTGGAGGGGGTATGGAGCACACACATTCAGAACAGTATGTCCTCCCCTGACAGCCAGGAGAGATTTATAGAGATTCTACATAGAGAAGAATGGCCATCCCCTAGAGAGGACCTGTTGTGGGGCAATGGTCTGTACCCTGTCACTTACATTTTAAATAAATGCTGATTGGCCAGTAGCCAGGCAGGAAGTATAGGCAGGGCAAGCAGGCAGGAAGTAGAGGTGGGGAAGTGAGAATTCTGGGAAGAGAGAAGTTTGAGGGGCGGGATGGGATGGCTCAGAGGTTAAGAGCACTGGCTACTTCTCCAGAGGTCCTGAGTTCAGTTCCCAGCAACCACATGGTGGCTCACAACCTTCTGTAATGAGATCTGGTGCCCTCTTCTGGCCAGCAGGGATATGTGTAGGCAGAACACTGTATACATAATAAATCTCTAAAGAGAGAGAGAAAGAGAAAAGTTTGATTCTGCAGTCATGACCCAGCCGCAGAGCAAGCAAGATGAGACTGCCTCGTTGAAAAAGGTACCAAGCCACGTGACTAACATAGACTAGAATAATGGGCTAATATAAGTTATAAGAGTTAATAAGAAGCCTGAGCTAACAGGTCAATCAGTTTATACTAATGTAGACCACTGTGTGAATTCTTTGGGACTTAATGACTGCGGGAACCAGGCAGGACAGAAACCTCAGTCAACAAAGATCCTGAGCAAAGGGATTTATCTGTGGGCCATGGAATGCAGTTCCCCAAATGCTGGAGGTGGGGACAATGGTCACAGTAGTGCTTCATACAAACGTTCACATTTTAAACTTTTTGGTTATCTCATTTGATCAATGATGGGTCTTCAAGGTGTTTTCAGACTTCCCACTTCTCTGTAGTTCTGTTTTTAAAGTACGTATGAGTTTTCAAACAGGGGCAAAGTGGATGTCCTTGCTACTGTGTTACTCTGTCCACCCCCTGCACTAGCAGTGGTCTAGAGGTTCCTTTACAGATGCTTTGTTATAGAGTTGAAGAAGATGTGGTCCTTGGGTGGTTATCACGAGAGGGTGTTTCCACAAGATGGGAAAGAGGAAAGTTTAATAATTGGGTCATCTAAGAGCTGTGAACATGGAGCAGACGAGTATATAAAGCATTTATTTAAAAACACTCAGTGTGAAACTCTCAGACCATTTAAGAATATTCAGACTCTGGGAACGTGTAAGTCTGTTCAGTGTCCATGATTTGGTGGATACATCCCCTCCAGACAACCCGGCTCTTGCCTATGGTTCTGTGCTCACAGTGTGATGGTCTGTCCTGTCCCTTTAAGAGACAAGCCCTGCCTATTTCCTCCCCATCTGCTGAGGCAAGCAGATCTTCCACTTCCATCCTGAGTTCCTTTTATTCCCATCTCTCTTGTGAAGAGGTAGCTTCTCTTCTTCTCTCCTCTCCCCCTTCTCTCTCTCTCTCTCTCTCTCTCTCTACTCTTCTCCCTTCTCCCCTTTCCTTTTTTCCTCCATAACCCACTAAATAAATACCCACTTTCTCTGCATGGCCTGCCTAATAGGTCTCTGTCTCTCACCCGCCACATGGCTCCCTGCCTGGGACTGGCTGCCTTCATGGCCAGCTGTGATCTTGTGGCCTGCTGTGGTCTTGTGGCCTGCTGTGGTCTCGTGGCCTGCTGTGGTCTCGTGGCCCACTGCCACCACTAGGGGACCTGCAGCGTTTTACCATAACACACAGCCTATGACTTCATATCAGGAAGAGACATGCTGACACAGGGCCCTGGTCCGCTCAGTCTCTAGGGTTTCAAACCCGACATCTTGGTGAGCATAGGTCTGTCAGGAACCAATCACTCTATGATACTTTCCCTGGTGGGGAAATGACACCCAAGGGAGCAAGCCTGCCATCCTCAGACATTTGTTTCCAGGGCTGATCCCGGTTCTGAACCACATATGCCACATAGACAGCTGTTCTGGGTGAGTGTTGCCTGGGGTTGTTTTAGCCACTGTCACTTAGAGTCCTGTTAAAGCAGATGACTGTGATTAGGAGGGAGAAGTGGAGAGGATCCTGAGTGAGTGTCCACCCAGTGCCCACAGGAAGCAAGAGAGAAACAGAAGGAGATTGGCTGCTCAGGACAACATCAGTGGTTGTTGTCACGCCCGACTAGTTTCGCCAGTCAGCCGTAGGCTCCAAGAAAGGAAGGGGTTTTTTCAAACTACTTTAGGCAACAACTTTGAGAGTTCTGGGTTCTCTGTCTCCTTGGGTACCCATATCAGACAAGGGGGCGACCCAAGAGCTGGCAGTCGTCCCCAGGGGTTGGGGAAGAGGGTGGAGTAATGTTTGCTTTAGCAGGACCACCTAGCAAATTGTCTCCACCTTCCTCTCTCAGCGAGGATGCTGCAGCCAGCCTACTTCTTTCCCTCTGTCTGCCTCAGGCCTCCGTTGGGGCCCTCACCCCTGCCAGCACAGCAGAGGTCCCAAGCCCACGGAGGTCCCTCTTGCCAGAGGTGCTTGCGACCGAAGAGATCACAGCCAAGCGTGGCTTTTCATCTTGCAGAAGACAGTTCCGCGGTGGGAGCGTCTGGACAACTCTTCCATTCAGAAGTGAGTTGAGAGGCACAGGGCAAAAAAAACCAGAGGGAAAGAAACCAAAGCGTGACGGTGTTTATGTAGCCGCTTAGAACAGTGTAACATGACGGGGGCCGGCTTGTCGGGGTATCTGTCCCGCCCAGTGCTCAACAGCTGGCAAGCCCCAAAGGAAAATCAACCACATAGAGATCTCTATAAGTTATAAAACTGATTGGCCCATTAAGTCAGGCTATTTATTAGTTCTTATAACTTATCTTAACCCATTATTCTGATCTATGTTAGCCACATGGGCTCAGTACCTTTCTCGGTGTGACAGCTTACATGTTGCCTCTTCGGTGGTCTGTACAGGAATGCCTGAGAGAGAGCTTCTGCTTCCAGAATACTCCCAGTCTCTTTGCTCCACCCCTACTTCCTGTCTGGCTTTCCCGCCTATACTGCCTGCCTGGCCAATCAGCGTTTTATTAAAATATGATTGACAGAATACAGATAATTCTTCCGCACCAGAACAGCCTGACTAATTCACAGAGGCACAAGTCTAAGAGTAATTCCTTGCTTGATATTGACTTGGAAAGGGTGTGAGGGAGTTCCTGGACTGCCGTCAATGCTTTATGGCTTGGCCGGGGCGGTAGACGCTGCTGTAAAAATTTTTGATGACATCAACCCAAGTGTTGTGCACTTAAATGTCTGCATCTCGATGGCAAGTAGTGCTTATAAAACGAACAGGCCACCTAGACAAGGTGGTGTCCCCAGGGACAATGTGCTACCTACTCTGTCTAAATCTCTTGTTGTCATGTCTTTCAAAACTGCTCTGGGGTTTAGGATACATTTGGGCAGTAATAAGGAATGTGTTATTCCACAAGGGATACAATTCAGGTCCCTCCGGGATGAATGCAATTGCAGACATTCTCTGACCCTGTATGTGAACCGTATTTTGTCCATATGTCCTGCAGTATGGCCTCGGAGTTCATCTGTTTTTGGGGTTTTACGCCCTAGTGCCTCCTTTACATTAAGACTCCTGCACTTTGGGATCGTTGTTGTAAAATAAGGGTTCCTTGAAACTAAACTCTGAGTTTCTAGGATAACCACTCTGTAACTGAGATAGTTCTGCAGTGACTAATGGGCTGGTAGCAAATGCAGGGTCGATACACTGACCTAAGGGGTTGATTTAGTGATCCAGGAGGGTAGCATGGATTTCCTCGTGCTACTTGGAACAGTGTGTGCTTTTTCCTCTAGACTAAGTATTATTTTAAGGCTATTGTTCCTGTAGCGACCAAAACTATGGGAAATCAACCTGCTGATGGAGATATTACAATGTATCAAGTGTTGTATTTATTAGTAATCTGTTTAATTTTGCTTTTTTTTTTTTAAAGAGTTTTGACCCTAAGCATTCTGGGTAGTATGTGGCTTCATGCCTTTCAAAGACATCCTTTTGAGCTTTTGATGTGGACCTCTCTCTAGGAGCGAATCCCCCCGATTTGCCCTCCTTTTTTAGTCTGGTCATGAAATTGTGGTACCTAGATATCTTGTTCTACTCCTTGAATCTCTTGGGAGGGAAGAAATTCTGGTCTCTTGGTTATGGGAAGCTCCTGATGTGAGAGTCCCCTCTGTGTGCTGTGATTACCGTTAATGAATAAAGAAACTACCTGTTGATAGGGGAGAACTTAGGTAGGCAGTGAAGATGGAACTGAATGCTGGGAGAAGGAAGGCGGAGTGAAGAGAGACAACATGGAGCCGTGGGAACTTTAGCAGGTAAGCCTCAGCCATGTGGCGATACACAGATTAATAGAAATGGGTTAAATTAAGATGTAAGAGTTAGCCAATAAGAAGCTAGAACTAATGGGCCAAGCAGTGATTTAAATAATACAGTTTCTGTGTGGTTATTTCGGGGTTGAGCAGCCTTCATCCAAAAAACTCCTTGTTGGGAGGATCCTTGGGTCTCCCCCAGGACCTCCTCTCCTGGGATTCACAGAGTGTTTCTCCTGGAGGCTAAGCAGGTGTGAGCTGCATTAAGTCTGCATCCTACTTTCTCCTCCCTGTCCCATTGCTGGTGGGAACAACAGGCATGAAATTGGACGGGAAGCTATGGGGTGGGGATAGCTGCAGAGAAGCCACAAAAGGAATCAAGTAATTTGTTTCTGATGCTTCCTTTCTAGAGTATAGCCTGCAGCCCGTGCTTAGCAGGGACAAGGTGAACTCTCCGATTAGCTTCCAGTAATGGGCCTCTCAGGTCTTTCCAGGGACTTGATGAAGGCATCTGGGGTGCAGGTGAATCCCTGCCAACTGTTCCCTTGGCTGAGTCTGAGGGACAGAAGACAGGCACAACTTTTCTTTCAAAATCAGAGCTGAGCTAACTGTGCCTCCGAAAAATGCTGACACACGGCCCAAAAGTGATCAGACACATCTCTCCCATTTTTTTTTTTCTGCTGCTCTCCGTGAAAGCTACTGGTGTTTGATGAACAGAAACAAGCCGCCCTGCTGAGATTTTCTGCTGGAGCCAAGTGTTTCTGCCAAGAGTGCTGAGCCGCCGCCATGTTGAGGGGATAGCTATGTGCCTCCCACTGCATCAGTGGACCTGCAAGATTTCCCATTATTCCTTCTTTGCACAGTGGTCACATTTAAGGGTATGTGTGTATATGCACATAGACACACACACACATACATCATGAGACCACACACACACACGCACACACACACACACACACGCACACACACACACATACATCATGAGAACACACACACACGCACACACACACACACATACACACATCATGAGACCCAAGGATAATATGGAAGATGGAGAGTTTGATATACTTTTTGTTGCCCTGAAATTTGCTTAGAAATACTTGGTTGTAACACACCTTTAAGGAAAGTAGCTCCCTTTTGAATGGCATCTTTCTTCTACTTCCTGGGTTTATTTCGTTTATTTCTGGTACAAGGAGATCCAACGTGTCCGAATCTTATTCCACTGCTGCAGTGGTCTGTTTTCCACCCATCGTTCTGTGCCAGTCTCTGGGGGTAGGGTGGGGGGCAAGAGATGCTATTAGTTATTTTGTTGTTCTGGGGGCTCACTAAGGGGCCTTCTGTGCTGTCAGCAAATCAAACGCTGAAGCTTGGGAGCTGAGGGGAGTTGGCCACATCCTCCCTTTCCACCTTTGGAGGTACAGTAATAACGGGTTTAATTGCTCCCACGATGATCCCAGCATGTCCCGAGCAAAGCCCAAGAGAAAACACACACATATGAGATGATGTCCAAGTGGGTCCTTTCTGGGGCTTCCAGGGAACTTTTCTGTTTGTTTTGAGACTGGGTTTCTCTGTGTAACAGCTCTGGTTGTCCTGGAACTTGCTTCATAGACCAGGCTGGCCTCCACGCAGAGCTCCACCTGCCCCTGCCTCCTGAGTGCTGGGATTAAAAGCGTGTGTCACCACACCCAGCCCGGGGTACCTTTTTGGTTGTTGTTGTTGTTTTGTGTTGAGAGCCTCTGCCCCTACCAGATGCGGTCTGCCTGGGGTCTAACTGCTCTGGCCTCTCTGGCTCTTCGCTTTCTTCCTCAGATCTATTTTTCGGCGGGACGGAGACACCCTGGATTACCTTTGTTCTCCCACGCAATATAAGTTTACCATGCCCAGAGGAGCAGAGATGTACAAGGGGGAATTACAGAGGGTTTTGTCTGTTTCCTGGTGGAACTTAGGTTTTTCTTACCTTAGCATCTAAATGAAGACAAGAGGATAAAGCCCAGGCCACAGGGCCACAGTAACACTGCCAAGCCTCCCAGAAGTTACCATGGCTAAAACCTGGAATCCCTCCTGGCTTCTCTCTTTAAAACACAACGTTTTACTAAATGGGGTTGGTTGCCCGCTGTTAAGACAATGGGCCTGTCCAACCATCTTGTTCAGGAATCAAGGGAAGAAAGACATGGTGGGGCCCAAGAACAGACCGGTTGCTCCCAAGAATGGAAAACAAATGAGCCGAGGCATAAATGGATGGAAAAACAAAAGGAAGAGATTCCTCAAACAATGCGTGCTATTGAAGGGGGAGCCGCTCGGACAGAGGCCCAGGTTGTGGGACCAGCTGGGGAGTGGTGGGACAAGGGAGTGGAGCTGTCAGCATGCAACTCTGGGCGGAGGATCTTCTCCCCAACACCCTGTGCTCCCATTTCCTTGCTGCCATCCCCTGACCTGCGGCAGTTTGTGGCTGAAAAAGGAGCAGGGAGGTGAGACGTATGCACGCACGCACGCACGGAGGGTTCCCGAACCACCTGCCCCCTCTCCCACCCTGGCTTGGGTTCGATGTGCACAATCTACAGTCGCCTTTCTTCTCTGCCTGAGAATATCCTGCAGGGAGGCCCACGGGTAATTTCAGTGAAACCTACAGACTCCTGCGTAAGTCGATCTCATTGTCCCTGTGGCTAATGGAGCCTCAGGGAGCTGAGGACAATAATGGACCTGGGGGATCTCCCTGACCCCAAAGTGGAACTGAGGTAACTCTTTCTTTCTGGAACACATGATCACCTCACCCCCAGGGTACATGCATGAAAGTCGTGTTAGGATCATGAGGGATTGGGGCACACAGGGAAGATTTTTGTCCGACTGGAGTCCCCATGACTATTTTCTTTTGTGGAGCACAGATTCTTTTCTACTTAGGATGGAGTTCTGCCTTGTAAATCCTGTCGTGGTCCGGGCTCATCGTAAGGTGAACAAATTTTAAGTTGAAAACAGACTGAGCGTATCCCACCTGTGGAACATCATAGTTCAGTAACACAGCATGTGTCTTCTTGTGGTCACGTGGCCAAGAACCGCATGTATGTATGTATGTATATGTGCCTAGCATGGTGAGAGAGTTTTTTATTGCATGTCACTGACAGCAGGGCAGTGGGGAGGGCCAAATGAAAAATTTGAAGTATTTCTATGAATGTATATGGCTTGCACGCGACTGTCAAGCCTAAAATCGGCAAGGCCAACCACTGTTTGAGTGTCAGATGGTGGTGGACCATCTCTAGTGACTGAGACCACTGGTGAGGTTTGGAAGGAGAGTGGACAGTTTTCATTTCCCACTCCCTCTCAGAGTTCCGGAGAGTCAGAAAAGCACCAAACTGTACTTTGGAATACTATCGTTCGGAGCTAATCATAGTTAATCCTCAGACTCCTTGAGAAGATGGGGCCACGCCTACCACCGAGGGTCAGCAGTACCTCCCCTGGGATGGAAGAGACTAAGACAAGTTCTGATCCTGGTCAATCATTTCACATGAAGAGACAAGGTCCTGAGAGGAAGCGAATGACCAGTCTGTGATCACACAGGTCCTGTCAGAGGGTAGACTAGGGCCACAGCCTCCCTTACAGAACCCGGGCAACCGTTTGGTAACAGACAGTTATTAAGGACCACACAGGTCCTGTCAGAGGGTAGACTAGGGCCACGGCCTCCCTTACGGAACCCGGGCAACCGTTTGGTAACAGACAGTTATTAAGGACCACACAGGTCCTGTCAGAGGGTAGACTAGGGCCACGGCCTCCCTTCCAGAACCCGGGCAACTGTTTGGTAAGAGACAGCTATCAAGGTCACCAAGTTCAGCCTGGCCTCTGTAATATGAACAGAGGCAAATGGCTCTCCTGCTTAGATGCGTGTCTCTAATCCTTCCCTTCTCGTCTGGAAAGAAAGAGGGGATGGGGATCTGTGGAATTAGATGAAAAATTCCAAAACAGAGCCAATGTGTCTGACAATGAGGACAGAATTCTGTCATCTGGCTATTATTGCCTCTGTAAGCCACAGCCAGAACCTATTACTAGAGAGCATCTTTCTTTTCTCCCTGGGGACAGACGAGCTCCTTATTCTGCTGCAGAGCCTTCCTCCGCAGGCTCCCAGCATCAGGTGCTGCCTCAGGCAGGGTCTCTAGCAGCTGCTGCCATATGCATTTATTCTCATCCTATCGGATCCTATCAGGCATTAGCATCCCCTCTTTGCAAAGGCCACTGAGGCTCAGAGAGGGGACTTACCCAAGGTCACCTCACCAGGAAGGAGCAGGGTCCTGATTCTACACCCTAGGCATTCCGGCAGTTCTTTTGCCTCAGAAGGTACTGCACACAAAACCAGGCAGGGATCAGGGGCCCTGAAGGAAGGAATCCTAGAGGTCCCAGGTACAAGGGCCAAATGATGTCCCAAGAGCATCCTGCTTTAAGACCCAGCTTCCCCTTAACTCTGGGCTGCTCCTCAGCATGCCTCCAAAGTTTCTTTGGGATCGCTTCTCACTTCCACTTGTGCCCCCCTTATGTTGCTCCCCAGGCCAGACCTCAAACTCACCCTCAGGAGAAAAGAGCATTTCGCTCTATCCAAATAGGTTAGGTTTGGTTCAGCATGCCTCTTATTCCAGCTCATCCCCAAGTAAGCACGCCAAGGTCTTTACAACACACACACACACACAGGCACCCCAAAATGTGTATCTGAACTGGAAGAAAACAGAGTGGATTTTACAAATTTCTTCCCCACTTGAGAAGCAACAAGTTTTCCAAAGCTAGAGCACGAAAAACTGCATTTTTAGAAACCTGAGAATTTAAAGAAACGGACACAGAATGCTTGGGCAAGAGAGTTGGTATCCTAGAAGGTCACAGACGTCTGGGGAGTTGAAGGGAGAGGCCAGAGAAAGGCCAGCAAAGGGTCACATTTCCCAAGGTCAAGTGAGCCTTGTGGCTGTGCACATAGAGAAAACACTGGCTGGGGAGTCGATGCCACAATGCCACGTGGTGATGGCTGCAGAGGGATGGTCTCAGCAATGTGTCACAAGCCAGAACATCTAAGAGAATCCCACTGAAGGCAAGAACACCTGCCTCTCACTGCATAGGCCTGGCTGGCTTGTACTTGCGACGCAGTCGAGGCTGGCCTTGAATTGCACCAATCCTCCAGCCTCAGTCTCTCCAGTACTAGGATTGCAGGCATGTGCCGCCAACCCTTTATGAGATAAAATAAATAAATATAAATAAGTAAATAAAAATATTTGCACACAATGTGTAGTGAGCAAATCAGGGCAAAATAAGGATTTCTGTCTTCTCAAATATTTCTATTGGCCAAGAAATTTTGCTCTACCTTTTATTTCACCTTTTTAGAGGTATTTATTTTTATGCGTACGGGTGTTTTGACTACAAGCATGTCAGTGCACCATGTGTCTCGTGGGAACCAGGACTGGACTAGACGGTTGTGTGATATTTTGCTTGCGTTCTGACAAATAAAACCTGCTTGGAGATCAGTGGGTGGCGCTATCACTGGTTAACCATAGAAGCTGGGCAGTGGCGGCACGCACCTTTAAACCCAACACCAGATGAAGCGTTAATCTAATTAATCTTAATCAATAAAGATCCGGAGGTCAGATATGGGGTAAAACCTTGGAAGGTCAGAGAACCGGGCGCAGTCGCTAGTTTCTCCCTACCTGTCTCATTCCACATCCTAAAGGGCTGAGATCCTGTCTCCGCCCCTCCTTACCACTTCCTGTCTTCACCCGTGGTGTGCTGGGATTGAAGGCATTCTTATATAACCCATGATCACCTGCCCAGGGCTGGCACCACCCACCTTGAGTTGGTCTCCCTCACGTCCATCATTAGTCAAGACAGTTCTCCAGATGCCCCTGCAGACCAGTCCTATCGAGGCATTTTCTCAGTTAGAAGTCCCTCTTCCCCATGTATCTAGGTTTGTGTCAGGTTGACAGGCGCC